CCAGGTCAAATGGCTCCCTCTGATATATGGGTATGTCTACACTTGCTCCCTAGTTGCTAATGAAGTGTGGGATTTAAATATCCCATGCTTGATTAGAATATTCGCAGCCGGTCACCATTTTAAAAAGCTGGTAGCCCGAATTAACTCTCTGCGTGTAGACGCGGTACTCCGATCCAAAACCCTTCCCTCGAATGAACTGTTACTCCTTGTGCAATGAGGCGTCACAGTTAATTCAAGGGAAGGGTTTTGGATCGGACTACCGCATCTACACACGGCTAGTTAATTCGGGCTACCGGCTTTTTAAAATGGCGACAGGCCACAAATATGCTAATCAAGCGCGGAATATTTAAATCCCACGCTTCATTAGCAACTTCGGTATGCTTCATTTGCCTCCCTAGTTCGAACTAGGGGGCATGTATAGACATACCCATAGAGCCTGAGTGTGGGTAGTGCTGCTAGACAATACTGAACTCCCATGGTTAGGCAAATTCTCTGGCTTGGCAGTGGTCAGGCCTTGAGAATGCCACATGAGAGAGGTTCAACCTACATAAACATAGGCTGCCTGCATATCCAGTTTGGCCATATCGGCCACAGATTAAATGTTTTTTCTGAACTTGTTCCTCTTTTTAGAAATACCGTAGAACTGCATCCGTAGAACTTGCACCCTTAGCCCAAGATTGTGAAATCACCTGTTTTTTAAAATGGGATCAGTCATACACATCTCCAACTAAGGAGGAAGGGATGCCACAACTGCAGGAGCAATTACCAATCCAGTTTGGCCATATCGGCCACAGATTAAATGTTTTTTCTGAACTTGTTCCTCTTTTTAGAAATACCGTAGAACTGCATCCGTAGAACTTGCACCCTTAGCCCAAGATTGTGAAATCACCTGTTTTTTAAAATGGGATCAGTCATACACATCTCCAACTAAGGAGGAAGGGATGCCACAACTGCAGGAGCAATTACCACCTTGGTTCTCTTAGCAGCCACCACCTGCCCATTTTCCACACTCCCAATTGTAGCTAGTGCATTTACTCAGCTTGTGCTCAGACACTAGGATTTGGCCCCGACTCAGGATCGTACTAAAACGACAAAAGACAGAGGAGGGTGGACTTGGACCTTTGCAGAGGTTATGGTAAAGTAAGACAGAGTTTGATGGAGAATGTATTGTGTGTGTGATCTTAGAGGCCTCTACTCTCAAGTTGATGAACACACTGGGGGTATGTCTACACTACCCCGCTAGGTCGAACTAGCGGGGGGAATGTAGTCATCCGCAGTTGCAAATGAACCCCGGGATTTGAATTTCCCGGGCTTCATGCAAATGAAGCCCGGGTTTTGAATTCCCCGGGCTTCATTTGCAGGAAGCCGGCCGGCGCCATTTTTAAATGCCGGCTAGTTCGGACCCCGTGCCGCGCGGCTACATGCGGCACGGACTAGCTAGTTCGGATTAGGTTTCTAATCCGAACTAGCTAGTCCGTGCCGCATGTAGCCGCGCGGCACGGGGTCCGAACTAGCCGGCATTTAAAAATGGCGCCGGCCGGCTTCCTGCAAATGAAGCCCGGGTTTTGAATTCCCCGGGCTTCATTTGCATGAAGCCCGGGAAATTCAAATCCCGGGGTTCATTTGCAACTGCGGATGACTACATTCCCCCCGCTAGTTCGAACTAGCAGGGTAGTGTAGACATACCCTGGGTTATACCCACCACTGATTTTGCTGTTTTAATATTGGATACAACTGTAGCAGGCTACTGAGAGCAAACTGGCCATTTCTTTGCACTACTGTCTGAAGAAGAGAATGCACCTCCTAATCGGTTGGTTTAAATATTCTTATCTCTATCAGACAAACCTCTGCAAGAGTTCGGCACTAAGCACGATGAATCATTAACTTGTGAAAAAACTGGAAGACTATCCTCTCAAGCAGTTGGTCAAACTTGAAAATATGCACAGCACTCACATAGGCCATTAGTGAAGCCATTATTTGCAGATTCACATTTTTAATGTCCTGGCTGAAGAGCTAAACATTTTGCGCTAGTTCCTCGGACACAGCTCCAGCCCCTTCATGCTGCTCCCATGATGCAAGGGGTACAGAGAGATGACCAAATAGAAGTAAAGACTCTCCTTGCCGAGGATAATCTCTGGCTTGGGTATCACTGTGCTGGCCTCTATATCCCGTGTTTTTAGCCTCCCTGGACTTTCGGGTGTTCTCGGGAAGGAGGAGACTGGCCAGAACATGTTGTGCTTTAGCTGTCATAGGCCAGCAGATGAGCACAAGTTAGGGAGCCCTCAGGCTGCTTTAACTTGCATTGGGGATGGCAGTGATCCACAATGGGCCCCAGCTGCCCTCAGGATAGGGGTAGGAGGAGAGTCCAGGAAAAAATCAACTATACTCTCTCCTCAAGTGCTCCAAGTGGAACACGTGTGCATTTGATCCATAGATCCAGATTCTCCTATGTCTCCTGGGCTAAATCCAGAATTAAGTTCATGAAGATTGAGTTACAGTGGCACAAAATTGCTTTGTCTGAAAGGAGAATCAGGCCCAGACTCTTCACACTATACTGAATACATTACTCTGTGTACATGGAAATATACGATAGTGGTGCTATCGCAGCCCTCCATTATACAGTAAACTTCCGATAATCCGGCACCTTTGGGACCCAGATATGCCGAACTATTGGAAGGGGGGACTATGAGGGGCCTGGAGTATAGGGGGGGGATGCCACCCTAGACCCCTCATAGCCCCCCCTTCCGATAGTCCGGCTCTGCCCCAGGCGTCCCCGATTCAGCCGCTGCTTGTCCCGGGCGTCCTGGAGGCCCTGGATCAGATTCACCTGGCCATCGGCTGGATCC